AATTCCTTCTACATGTCACAGATGCATCTTTCTAAATGAGTAAAATTAATTCATTTCAATAACTACTGCTATACCTCTGTTTCTGTTTCTGTCACCAGTAAAGGTGTCTCTAGGTAGAGGTGGCAAAAATTGCTATAACAGCTTTAGTGTATAAGAGGCATTAATATATGAGGTTATTCTACAGCACTGATCCTATATGTAAAGAAGAATTTAGGCTTTAAAGGTTTCTTAGTCTAAATTTATTATATTGTAACTATGTTGATACACAGATATTGTATTGAGTGTAGCTGAGATTGTGTGAGAGAGAAATGGTTAATGGCTTAAACGTTCACACAAGGGCTCAAGGAACTCATCTCTGCTGATGAGCCTTTATGGACCCCACTCTGCTGATACAACAAGCATCTGTAACAACTTAGAAAGTGTCAAAAGACTCATGAAATGTCCTTTGATCCAGAATTACATTGTAAAACTTCCACGGGGAGGTACTGGGGGTGTTTCTACCTAGCCTAAGCATAATGAAAACCCATGGGACTTCTCTTATCACCATAGGTTTCTTCCCTCACCACCCAGGGCTCCTTCCCTCACCATCCTGGGCTTCCCTCTATGGATCCAGACTGCAACCATCACTTTGACAAGACTGGGACTCTCACCACTGAGAAGTCCACAAGAAGAGGATCACATTATGTTAGATATTAGAAAAAGGTTCTTCACTCAGGCAGTGGTTAGGTGCTGGAACAGGCTCCCCATGGAAGTGATCACAGCACCAAAGTTGATAGAGTTCAAGAAGCATTTGCATGATACTCTCAGGCACATGGTGTGACTCTAGGGGATAGTTCTGTGCAGGACTAAGAGCTGGACTCAATGTTTCTTGCTGGTCCCTTCCCAAAGACCATTCTGTGATTCTGTGTTCTGCTGAGATATAAAAACTAAGATAAAGAGGAAGGGGGTGCTCATTATTTATGAAGTTTGTCTTCCAGTGCAACTGCTACATATGCTTGTTGTGTTAAGAGCATTTCAGTTTGGCAGAAAAGAAACTCCCTCGTTTTCAAGCAAGTCCTCAGCAATCAGAGTGGCTGGGTGAGGCAAATTTCTAATTAGAACCAATTCAACACTATAAAGCCTATCTAAGTGCATCTATCAATAGTTGCACCAATACTATGGTTCACACTATAAATCTGGTCTTATTCATGATCACAGATTCACCAATTGCAGTTAACAGTTTCAATGCTATAAGTCTAGTTGAGTTCAATTCTTGTGAACACAGATTCACCAGTGGTGTGGTTTATTGGAGCAATAGATTATAGATTTTAGATTACCAGTGATAAATTCACTAGACCTACAAAATGTAGTATAATGCTATGCGCAAGTGTTTCTGGATACACTCCAATGCAGTTGGAGATACAAATCTTACCAAAGAGGTGTCCTTGCTTTGGGGAGGAGAGAGAAGAAAGCCTGTCAACTTGTCTGTAAGGTACTTGTATTCTCATCCTCTGCCACTGAGGATTTCAAATGCTAATTTATACTTTTGGGAGAAGTGGAGGTGAGACTGCAGTCAGCTTCTACCAATGCATTCAACTTTTTTGATATCTGTAAGCCCACAGTTTTCTACAATTTAATAATAGTATGGTGAGTTAATTGAATTTAATTTAATCAAAACTGAAGGATGGTAAGCATATGATGGATGAGAAGCCTCTTAAAAGGCTGTTCCAGATTTCACTACCTGACAGGTTAGAAACTAAAATTTTTCTGATCTCTTAATACCAGTTTACATCCCATTATATTCTATACTCTAAATTAAAGAATTCCTTTTTCCTCTCTTGTTTACCCCAGACCTACAGATAACAAATTCTTCCTTGTCTTCATTTTACTTGATTGAAAACAAGTCTGTTTCCTCTAAATGCACCTCATATGATGGGCTGGTCATTGCTCAGAGTAATATAATAATAAATAATAATAATGGCCAGTCTTCACGAGTGAAGATCCGGGGAAGGTCTTTCCACCTTCCAGCCTGCGCATTGGATTTTTTAGGTGAGACACAGTGTGCGCGGAACTGAGCCCACCCTTTAATCCTAAGGTTCATCTGCCGGGGCCAAGCGAGCTTGGACGGTGGCAGCGAGGTCCTTAGGACGTAGGTGGGTTGCCTTTAAGGGCTAACGAGCCCCACCTGCCCGGGAGTGGCCCTGACCGGAGTATACCAGTACTTACTCTCTGCAGCTTTTCTAGTCTGAGTTCCGTGTACCTAAATATGTGTTGTGAAAGCTGTATTTTCAATGAGCCATCACATGACATCACATTTACTTAATTCAACTAGAAACAGCTTGAATGAAATGCCTTTTAATCTCATTATTCACTGCTGCTTCTCTTTACTGGTTATTGATCTTGCTATGGTTTGCTAAGGTAACTATGTTTCTCTCCTCCTTTGGTTCTGGCTGATGCTAAAAATTCCTGTTACTTCTTCAGTTCAGGATCTTGTATTTTATTTTACCATTACATTTCATTTTCTTTATGTTTCAAGGTCATCTAGTTCTTTCTAGGTGTTATTAGAGTTATAACTCTCTATATTAGAGTTGAATAGATTAACCTCATGGCTTTGTATTATTGGCCAGTTTCTTAATTTGGTCATAGCTTTTGTGTTAAAGAAATTAATGAAATCAATGAAGTAATAGCAAATTTTAAAATATTTAGCAAAATTAGACAACAAGCAAATTTCTTAAAGGCTGCTTTTTCAAGGCAATGTCACATAATGTTCACTCCATATCTTTCAAATCCTTTATCTCTGTTCCCACCACCCATTCTGGCTGTGGTCCTACCTCCTGTATCACTGTAATTTCTGAAAATGGACAAAGTAATCTTCTCTGTAGCACAGTGGCTGAACTTCTTTCTGGCTGAACTTTTTGAGAAATACAACACCTCTGACAGGATATTAATAAGACTTACATTTGGCTTTTGTAACTTCTATCTCCATTTTAATAAAACAGATTATTTTCTGAGAGAATATAACTTTAGCAATTTCTTAACTTGATGAGCTACATTTACAACAGCAAGCAGATCTTCCATTTTAATTTAATGCAGAAAAATTCAATTAGTTATTTACACTTAATAACACTTAATGTCTTTTCACTTCCACCTCATGACTAAATTCTGTCCTGAAGTTGTCTTAGCTACTTCTGAAGTTTTCATGCTGAACAATTTTGTTCCTTTCTGCCTAATGTTTTGTTAAAGGATATATCTCAGCAGGCAGTTCTTGAATTGAAGTAGTTTTGTTCTGCAGTCTTCTGGGTAATACAGAACCCATCAGTCAGAATGAAATCAGTGTAAATCTCTGTGTTACCATGCAAATTCTAAATCCACTTAGCTGTGTTTTCTCTTTTCTGTTCATAAAGAGCAAACAAAATTTATTAAATGCATAATGTGTTACAGGCCCTTCAGAGGTCAGTTCAGCTAGCAGGTATACATTTAGAAGGCAATTCTGCACTTTCCTGAAGATATAGGTCATAGTTTAGCTTGAAGATAACAGATTGATATAACATCTCATCCAGATGTTATACTTATATTTTATCATGTTGTTGAGGTGATTTTAGTTTTTTTAGAGAATTTGTTTCCTGATAATGGCAAATAATGTATATGCATTTTGAGCTATTGTAGTGCGTTGACCCTGGCTGATGCCAAGCACCCACCAAAGCTGCTCTATCGCTCCCCTCTGCAACTGGACAGGGGAGAGAAAAAAGGGTTCATGAGTTGAGATAAAGTCTGTAAGAGAACAGTCACCAAATACCATCATGGGCAAAATAGACTTCAGCTGGGGAGAGAAATTGAATTTATTACTAAGAAAATAAGAGCAGGATAATGAGAATTAAAATAAATCTTTAAAACATCTTCTCCCCACCCTTCCCTCCTTTCTGAGCTCTACCTCATCCCTGCAGTGGTGCAAAGCTCTGCTCTGCCTCCACCTAAACAGGCAACAGAACCGGCTGGTTTTAGAAGCAGAAGTTTAAAAAGGAACTTAGTGGGTGCAATATGGTTGAAAACAGATAAATTACCTACTTTCTTATTAGATCTTGATGTTATTGGGCTGAATTTTTTTTTGAGTGATAGCTCAAAACATGTGAATAGATAAAAGAAGCCTCATGTTTTAATTATTTTAGAGCTGGAACGTTATTAGTTGTTTCAATTATTTCCTTTTTTGAGTTCAAAAAAACCATATTACTTAATAATATTCATATTTGATTAACTTTGTCTTGAAAACCATTATCACTGGCTCATTTTCCAGTAAATATATCTGAGTCTTGGAGGTTGAAATCACACCAAGCCTTATGATGTGAGCAAGAAATATAGAAGATATGAGTAGCAGCCTGCTTCCTACTTCCCATTAATAGAAATCAGAGGCTGTTTCCATAATTTAGAAGTGAAATATTCGTTTATTTTAAAACATTATGAATCCTGTGTGACAGAAACAGCATTAACTGTGTAATAAGAATTTGGTACATCTGGTACACTTGAATGATAAACAATAAAACTCTGTACTTGGGTGTCAGTCAATCCTGCCATAACCTTATGAGTTATTTCAAATATGCAGGACAGAAACTCCTTATTTCACCTGAAAATATTATCAATGCTCTTAACAATTAATAATTCAGAGCTGTTAATTCATACAGGTTATTTTCTTCTTTCTCTCTGCCTTTTCCTGGAGGATAACTGTCTGTATAGGAAAAAAGGTAAAATAGTTTTTACATTTACATATATTATGATAGGTGTTTCTTAGAAGACTGAAGGTCAAGAAAGTTGGTTTTGAAGACAGAGGATAAGATTAGAAGGACTTGCACTGGTTCTTAAATCTTCAGAAATTTTGGACCAGGTCCAACCAATGTTTTGTCCAGCAAAGAACCTGAATTCACCTGGCAACAGGCAGCATTTTGCTTGTTAACCATAGTGGGTTTTTTAGGAAAAATTAGTTTTGTTGATTGGTTGCTTGCTTGGTTGATCTGTTGGTTTTTTTTAAGGGAAGTCCAAGATGATGGGTGACTCAAGATCTTGATCATTATGGAAATTTCTGTAGGGGGACTGGAAGGTAAAGCTGAGTGAGGCTTATAGTCCTTATGGTAAGTTACAAAGTCCTTTGCTGGATTTCAGCCTTGACTGTAGTTTCTGGAGTTCTATTTTGTGTCTGAGACTATGTTGTTTTAATCCTTCTAAGTATATTCAGAAGACAGAAGGTCAGGTTATTTGAGGCAAATTATAATGGAGTGTCCTAGTCAAAATCAGTTACTTCTCCCTGGATATTAATATGTCCTGAAAAGTTCCTATGAGTGAAGAAAAAGAATTTTTCAGTAACTTGTGTTAAAAATCAACTAGTCATGATTACACTTTATCAAATAAATGAGAGCATGCCTATTTGCAAAGTGTGTTTTCCACTACCTCACAGTGTAATCTTAATTTTGATCTTTTTAATTATCAAACAGTTTTTCTTCATCCATAAGCTCATCTCTATCAAAAATTAGATTAATTTAGTGAGAGTGATATATGATGTGAAGGGCAAGCAGAACTGCATATCATTTGAAAACTTATTCAAATTTGAGTCTGTAATGTCTAATCAGTTTTCTAAATAGTGAAAGATGAATGATCTTTGTTAATCTTCGAGTGTGAGTTGTCTAAAATTTTAATTTCTTGTTTTCTCTCATGAGGTGTGCTTGCTTTGGAAGAGTTAAGCTTCACCTTAAGAGAATATGTCCTTATCCACGCACACACATACAAAATAGAAGCCTACAGTAGCTCAGGCTATGAAAGTAATGGAGCAGAATGCTGTACAAAATGTGAAGTACCTCCTTAGATGGCACACTTTTGTCTCACGATGGAAACACTGAATGATGCAGAGAGATCCCTGCAATATAAGAATGAGCATAAACCTTCTATTTATAGGACAGTCATAGCATGACTAATGTGGTTTTAGTTCTGGATGCAGTGTGTACAGCATCAAAATTACTTATAATGGGTACATAAGCTTTAAAAGCACTTCTCTGAAATTACTAAAGAACAGAAAGCCATCCAGGTGAATTTCAACATAATTTCAACAGAGATTCATCATACTTCCAGTTGAAAGAGGAAACAAAGTTTTCTTCAGTGTGTGAGAAGAGTTAATGAAAAGAGCTCAATTACTAATATATTTCCATTCCTTAGAACTTTAAGACTTCAGTGTTGAACACAACCAGAGAAGGTATAATCAGCTATTGCAATGGATAGGGTACATGGCGGAGGAAGGGTCCAAAACTTGCATGGAACTTTTCCTGCAGCTCTGAAAATCTTGCCTATGAAGTTACAACCAATCTATAAGCCCATCTTGCTCCTGGGAAAAATCCTCAACAAACAAGATGTATTTCTGTAAACAAAAAGTCTTAGCTCTGACAAATGTTGTGAAAACCTATTTTATTGAAAAAAATCTTACCCAGGCTGCTGTCAGCAGTCTATAGACTGCACAGGCTTGCTGTAGAAGGTGCAGGTTTGAGACCTGTCTGTTTTAATTAGTTGCTTCTGGGACTGACTTTTTCTACTAGCAGCTTGGGGAATATATACTCCCTTGTTTAAGGATACTTCATGGAGATATAATAAGCCAAGCGTGCTTATTTAATTAGCTGTCCTGTAGTCTCCTAACATCGTCAAAATTAAGCTGAATGCTTGTGCCTGGCCTTAATTGGGATATGTGTGATCAAGACTGGACACAAATGAGCTGGGCCAATGAGCAGAAGCTGATAAACTACGTTGGAGTTTTCTAATTGGAAGAATAGAAATTATTGTACTCATGAGTGACAGGCCTCAAAGCTATCCTACAGTGAGACCACTATTTTGCAAAGTCCACATGCAATGTGTGAATCTTATTATCATTCTGCATTTTGCCTTTAAAATAAATAATATGAAGAAGACAAAGACAATTTTACCATTTTCTAGCTTACCTGTCTATGAATCTCCCTAAGTGTCATGGGATGGACAATGATAAACTAAAGAGCACCACTGGCATGTGAAGAGCTTATGGATATAATAGCAGGGATGACCCAGGTTGGTGAGACTAGTTGTTTAACCCACAGTGTGATTCATAAATATTTGGGAACCAAGTAAGTAATTTGTTACATTCTTTTGGACATTTGTATATCAGAGAAGCCAACGTAGAAAATAACCATGACTTATGTGCTGTGTTGTGAAATTTTATTATAAAAAGTGCTTTCAAAGAATGCTTAGTTCCAGATGTATCCTCTGCCATCAAGATAGAGAGGAGTTTGAACCCTTTGCTAAGACAGCTTTTCCACCATACTCTCAGGATTTCATCTCTGATAAGAGAGGAAAAACTTGGAGAAACTCTCAGATACATATTTGGCAGTATATCTAGGAATGGTTTGGGTGGGAGAGAGAAATAGCTCATCAGCACGACGTGGAAAGCTATTATGAGAAGCAGTCAGACCCAAGCATCATTTAAAGTTAATGAAAATTAAAAACTCCTCAAAGTAAAACTAATAGGAAAATTTTCAACAAGAAAAAACAAGTACATATTGAAAGTCATGTCTAGTAACCATAAACAATAGCCAAAAAGAGAATAAAAGAAAGTTTTCTAAAGCAGAAAGACTCTGCTTAATTTTTTTTTCAACTACAGTATTGCCAAAAAAACATAAACACAGAATTTTTTTTCTTCTTCTCTCACCAAAAAATATAAGCAAATGAAGGCATAAGTAATTTTCAATGTGTTTTAAAAAGAGCTCCACTTGATACAAAAGGTTATCTTTGAGAAAAGAGGCTTTGGAGGAAAGAACTCAGTCCAAATGTTCACAAACGACCCTACAGACTAAAATTGAAGGATAATATAAAATAACTGCAGAAAACATTGATGCACTGTTGAGCACTGGAGAAGGAATCTTCTCCAGAACAATGGGAAACATAACTCCGAATCACTCCTGAGTACCTAACTGGTCTGGAAAGGTTTTGGTCACAGATCTTAAGTACTAAAGAGGCCAATAAGTGAGGCTATACACAGAAAGTGTTCCTTTTCTTAAAGCACAACCATTTGAAAGAACTTTCTTCATCATTCTGTTGATGCTTGCCTCTGCAGCATAAAGCAGAGGTCACTTGCTGTTAGCTGGACCAGTTCAGAGTTAAAAAGTAACCTCTAAAATAAAAATCTCCTCATCTCATTTTTAAAAATGGATAGACTCCACAACGCCATTAACCTCAGACTCAGATTGGCTTAATTTCATCATGCTTATTCTTGCATTGTTCAATTTGTATTGCATATAACAGAGGTGAATAAAAGAAATGAATGGCAACTGCCACTTGTCCTAAGCCTGATAAACTATTTGAAAGCCTTTTGTGGTGCGAGTAAAGTTATTTCCATGGCAGACAACAGAAATATGTTTACACCCTTGTAAAATAACCTGGGTAATTTAGAAGCATTATTAACAAACAAAGGACCTCAAGGATGGATTATTTGAGTTGGTCTCACTAGAGTTATATGAATATGAATGACACTTTCTTCCTGAATATCCTGAGATGTGAAATGCAACAACAAACTTTCTAAGCTGAACTACTTAACAAGTAGGTCTTAAAATGTATAAATCAAACCCAAATGTTATAAAAATCAGTGTGAAAGCACATTGTCCTAAAAGAGATCTGTTGATGAGTTTTCTGACCTAGATGGCCTCATTTGTACTCATACAATACTGCTCTCCTGAGCATGTAAGGTAAGCACTATGCTCAGAAACTTAGTTCACGTTAGCATTGTAACAACAGCAAGTTCAGCTGATGGAGGTTCAGCAGTAAAAGGCAAATGGGAAGCTAGAAAAGGCAGATAATTTATGTGGGGACTCTCTGGTGTGAAAATAGTTAAGGGATTATGTAAAGCTTTGGACACAAATTTCCAGGGATTGGTCTCTTTCTGGTTTGTAAATATACACACGTTATATAAATATCAGTCCTGGTAGAAACTATGTGTTAAAGATTTTCTTTGCTTTCCACAAGCACAGTCTTGGCAACTCAAATGCACAAAAAATGCAAATGGACACAGGGATTTGAAAGTAGCTTTCAAGCTGAAATGTAAAATTTTTCAGGATCTTCTTGGTTCTACCGGTCTTCTGCGTTGTCTGTATTATTTCCTTCACTTTCCCTGGGCCAAAGGGGTAGTTGGTTTATGCTGATGGAAACTGGCATAAGTCAGGGCTAGATTAACATGGTGACAGGCTGCTATGTGTGCTGCTCCTGGCTGATAGCTATTCTGGCATCATCATGCTGAGTGATGTGCAACGTCAGTTTGACACGATAAGCCTACAGCTGGGAGAAAAGTAAAGCTCTGAGGGTGGATCCCAGATACACCAGTAGCATTTCAGTGCTCTGAAATGGCATCCATGATAGTGAGCTGATTGACTGAAAGGCCAGACGGGGTTTTAATTGCATTACTGACAAGTTGATAAAAAAAAAAAAAAAAAGGGAGAGGGAGAAACAGGGAAATCCACATGGAACAAATGTGTTTAGTCTGTTCTTTAGCTTATAAAGCTTTCAAATTTAAAACTTCTTACCAGTTTAGCTTTCTACAGGATCCCAAAGAAAATAAAATATAGAGTTCTAGTCAGATAGATTTTGCCTTGAATAGCAGTGTATTTGAGTGCTGTATACTGTGAGTTACAGGCAAGTATGTTTTCAATAACTGAATAATCTTGAACTTTACGTAAAGTTTTAAACTTTATAACAAATGCGTTGATACATTGGCAGTTAAACAAATACATTCCAGTTATCATCATAACCATTTGAACTGAGGACTACAGATTATCATGCCTAAAATTATCCTTTCATGGCCTAACTAAGTCAGAAGTCTCTTCAGTAAATATTAGGTGAAGTTATATGTATATGCATATATATGTATATTCTTTTTAGTTCTGCATGTCCAAGAGCAGGATTACAATATCCAAGTTAATCTACATAGGACAATCTGCTGTATTCTTTTTGTGCTGGATTTATGTATCTTATGCATGCATAAAGGGGCAAAATTGTGAAAAGAAATGTGCTAATCTCTCAAACTAGTAAAAGAACCAATTGTCTTTTTTTTTAATCTATCTGTCTATCTATCTAT